CCTCGGTGGCCACAGACACTGGGTGATTGTTTGGGTGCTCTGCACCTCTCCGGGGCACTTCTGCCCACCACCCCCCCACCCCCCAAGCCCCTCTACTTCAAAACACGGGGGCGGGGAGCGGGAGCCCCTCGGGACTGGGGTCCTGCTGCCTGGCACGGCGATGCCCACACGCTGCTCCCCACTGCGGGTCCCCACGCTGCACCACTTTTGGGGGCTGTCCCTGTGTCCTATCCCAGATCCATCACCCCCACGCCACCACCGGTGGGCAATCCCATGCCCAGCCCCTCTGCAAATCCCCGTGGCAGCCTCGGAAGGATGCTGGCTGCATCCTGCCTGCAGGCATCGCTGCAGAGGAGTGTGGATGCTCCAGGGAACCTGCCTGGGACCTGCTCGCATCTCAGATGTGGTCCCCACCATGTACCAATGAACTGACAGGGGACATTTTGCATTGCCCCAGCTCTGACTCAGAGGTAGACAGTAACAACCCCGCTGTCCTGCTTTCCCACCTCAAAATGACACTGCAAAGCACTAAAACGGCTGTGGGCAAAGGCAGCTTCGGTCACAAGCACCAAAGATCTGTGGGACCACCTGGCTGGGATGGCCCAGTCCATGGGCAGGAGGATGTGGGACCCTCCGGCTAGTCCCTGCTCAGGTCAAATGCGAAGGACCATTCCTGGCACATCCTCCCACCTCCACAGCCGCGCTTCAGCCTCTGCTGCGAACGAAACGATCCTAAAATGAAGCCACCTACACCCAAGCACCCTTCGGCACCAAAAGATAACAGAGCTGCCCAACAGACAAAGTGACGTATCTTATTCTGACTTGATTTCCTAACCCAGAAAACATGAGCTCAGCACAGAACGTCCGACCACATCAGCTCCAGTCTGGCAGTTTCGGGAATGACTGAAGCTGTGCTGGGGACGTGCTGAGCAGCAGGATGTGGAAAGCTCCTCGCTCAAAGCCCAGAACACCCTTTTCTCCACCTGGGACCACACTTTTTTCCATGAAGGGGCATTTTTTACAGCCCAGTCTGGAGGATGCTCGGTTCAGGCATCAGCTCCATCAAGGAAACCCCCACGCCGCCGTCTCCCAGCCCCCTTGCAAAGTTTCCAGGATGGAGGGTGGAGGAGCAGCAGCTCAATTTAACGTGCAGTCGTGAAAACAAATACGAACCAGTTTACAGATTTGCCACTGTTAGGACCTATTTTCCTTTCCAACTGTACTTTCAATCAATTCATTCATTCTTAATAAACGAGGTCTCCCTTCTTCAGCCCTGAGCCCTTCCCCAAGCCATAGGACAAATCCCCTCCACAAACCCCAAACCCAGGAGACCTGCAAGGGTGGGCAAGAGGCTGGCCAGGATTCGACCAGCTGGGAGCAAGCCGGATGCTGAGGGCACATAAATCCAACCAGAAACTCCATGAGGATGCTGGAGAAGAAGAGTCCCTGTCTGCTCCAAGGTCCTAATTACACCCTTGCACCCTTTTTAATTTTCCTGAGCACATCTCATGGAGGTTTCTGCCCCCTGTGCTCCATCATCTCAACACCCGCCCAGAGCCCTCGGTCCTCCCTGCTCGCACTTTGTGCTTCGTGGGGGAGCAGCTCGAGGCGAAGTGCCACGGTAAACATCCCTGCCCTCCGCTCTGTTTTTATTTGTCATGCCCCCGAGCCGTCTGCTACCCCAGCCCTGCCACCGGCTTTCAGCCTCACCTCGAAAGGGAAAGGGAGCTATTAGCAAAGCAAACAGCTCTGACTCATGGCTGACCTGGGTAACTTGTGGTTTCTGGTTGGTTTCTCACATAAGAGTTCTTGAAACTCTGATATTTTTGCTGATGGGAAATCAAGCTACCAGGCTGGTTGCCTTGGGAAAGCCTCGTGCCGCTGTCTTTTGTTGTATGGCCGTCGAAGACCCCCCATGTCACATCAATAAATACCCCAAAAATTGCTTTACAGACCCCAGTACTCCCCAGTACTCATTACAGCACTAATTACAAGCGCAAACACGTGGATGTGGGCTCCTGGGCTCACCTGAAAAGCTGTCCTTATCCATGGCGATCAGATCCCGAGCCTGGTACATGTAGCAGCGGAGGTGGTATCTGTTCCCACCTGCACAGAGGAATGAGAAACAGTTGAAGAGTCCAGGGAGAAGTGCAGGGCACCGGGGGAGTAGCTACATTTTTAGCCAGCCCCAGGGCTGCTGGGCTTAATCCTTCCCATGGCTTCCCAAGAGAGCGCCCAGCCCTGAGCATGTCGACGTTCCCAGGGGAACAAGCCGTGCCGCATCGCTACCCACCCCCCTCCTTCCATCCGCCTGCACGAAGAGGATGGGAAACACTCGGCTATGGGGTCCCCACAGCAGAGACCCCACGCCGGGCCTCGCTGCAGAGGAATTTCACCCTCCGACCCTCGGGGCCTTACAGTCAAATATGCACGAGATGGTGGGTCTGTTGACACCGAAACTGAGGGTGGAGATGGATTTGCCATCATCGCTCTTGTCGTCTGTCACTCCCCCCTGCAAGAGAAAGCAAGGCAAGGTCGGTCGTGCGGGACCCCGTCTGCAGCCAGGGCTCCCCACGGGATGGGGGTCCACGTGGGTGTCCAAGAGGACTTTGGGCTTCCCCGTGGAGGGACCCTCAGGCTCTTCTTGCCCCAGGAGGGCAGAAAGGACCCGGCCCCTGATCCACGCCACGCTGGGAGGGAACAGGACACGACAGCAAAAGCAGCCTGAGGGTCACCAATTCACATCCCGCCTCCCGGCATCTCACCAGCATGGAAAAGCCGCTCCATAAAATTCATCGTTCTTGGAGCAGCAGTTAGTAGTTAAAACAAGTTCACTAAGCTCCCTTGCGAGCAAAATTAACGGAGTATAAACTTTGTGAACAGTGGTACAGATGGAGCCAAATGCAGCCAAATGCCCCACTCGCTGCCCAGGGGAAACCTCGGCCAACCTTGGCCATCGCTCTTCCCTCTTCTTGCATTCACCGGCATTTTATCACCTCCTCATTGCCACATTCCTCTTGAAATATTTAGTTGCAGGAAAAGAACCATAAAGGTAACTTCCCAGCGAGTGTAAATCTGATCTTTAAATATTCTTCAGTTATCAAATGCGAGGGAGAGACAAGAGGGGTGTTTAAAGAAAAAAGGAAAAGAAAGAAGGAAAAAAAAGCCAAAAAAAAAAAAGGTGGGTCCGGGATGGAATTTCCAGAGCCAGGAGCTGCCTGGTCCCAAAAAGATGTCAGGAGCTGAGGTGGTCTGCAGAGCCCTCCTTGCCTTCCCAGGCAGGAATCGCAATCGCTGTGACACTGTCTGCAGAGGAAGCCCTGGGCTTTGCACCGTATTTACGGCGGTGAGGTCGTGCCCAGGGTTTGCAAGGCAACCTCCAGCGCTGCCCTCCCTCCCGCGCCCCCCGCCCCGCCGGGGCTGAATAGCTCCTCAGTTATTTTTATGACCTTTCTCTGCCCGCCGGTCCCCCCAGCCTGGGGAAGGGCAAGTGGGGGAGAGCAGGGGCCGAAACAGACAGGATCGCTCTCTGAATCCCTCCGCAAGGGCTCGGGCACCCCCAGTCTGTCCGTCACGGAGAAATGGGGGTGCTCCTCACGCCCCACCACACCACGGAAAGCACACCTTGGAGGGGACAAGCCGGAAAGCACGCCTGGTGCAGAGCCAAAGCTGGGGTGTAAGCGCTGGCAGAAACAGGCAAGATTTTCCAACCTGGCGCGGAAAACCCAAAGCTCTCCGTCGGCCAAAGGTTTCCCTCGGCTGAGTTTTGGAGGAGGATGGGAGGAAATGGGGCTTGCAGGGTGGGAGGGCTGCTCACAGCGGAACCACTGGGCTTTCCATCAGAAACCAGAGAGCTCGGCTCCGCAAAGCTGGGGTGTAAGCGCTGGCAGAAACAGGCAAGATTTTCCAACCTGGCGCGGAAAACCCAAAGCTCTCCGTCGGCCAAAGGTTTCCCTCGGCTGAGTTTTGGAGGAGGATGGGAGGAAATGGGGCTTGCAGGGTGGGAGGGCTGCTCACAGCGGAACCACTGGGCTTTCCATCAGAAACCAGAGAGCTCGGCTCCGGGCTTCCCAGAAATCGGACCGAGGGCAGAGAGGTGCCCGGGGGGTCCCGCCGTGTCCCGTGGTCCTTCTCTTTGAATGACTGTCAGCCACGAGCGCGCTGCTTCCCAAAAAAGCCAGGACGCACCGTCGCAGAGAGGGAAACCCAGGAACAAGCTGGTACGATGGAGGCGATGGCCGAGCCAGCAAGCCCGAGGGAAAGGAAGGCTGCCCAGCTTGTACGGGGGATGCACAGGTGAAATCCAGGCAGAAAGAGAGGAAACGACAGGGGAGAGCTGCAAGCAGCAGCGTTACGCTGGCTCCGCGTTTGGGCTATGGGTGGGAGTGCAAAAAGCCTTCTGCATCACCAACCTCTTGGTCTCAAGCCCCCCTTTAGTCAGCTGGGGCCCACGGTGAGAAGCAACAAGCGCCCGGCACTGTGTGGGTGCCCCGGGGGCAGAGGGGGGTGCCGAGCCACCGGCGATGCAGAGGGCAGGGTGCCCACGGCAAGGGCAAGGGGGGACCCAGAGCTGCTTTGCCCAGGGCACTCGCGGGCTCACCACGGGTCTGCTCCCCAGAACCCTGCCCTGAGCCACCAGGGGACGGTCCCAGGACAGGGGTGGCTGCAGGAAGGCTCCGAGGACTGCCAAAAAACCAGGGCACACCGGGAAGGAGAGAGCCGCCATGCTTCCACGTGAGAGAGCCCGGGGCTGCGGGCAGCAGGAGAGAGCAGGTGAATCGGGGGAAGCAGCACCCGAGGCAGCTCAACCCACCCCAAACCCATCAGGATAACTGCAGCTGAAAACCCAGCACCAGGCGGCAGCACCACAAGCCCTCGCAGCAGCATGTGGCCTGGCTTCGGGGAGCACCGCCCTGCGAGCAGCTGCGAGCAGCCGCACTGCCCAGCCCAGAGCCTGCTCCCCATGGGAGGGGGATCGGGGAACATCCCCCCCTTCCCCATTGTCTGGGGTCAGGGGAAGGATGGAGCACGTGTGAGCAGTGAAATAAAATTCTTTGAGCAAAAGTAGGGGTGAGCATGTGCTTGGGGAGAGCAAGCATGCAAAAGAAATCATGCACGCGTGTGCATGCAAATGCGTGTGGGTCTGGGGGTGGTCGTGATGGAGTGGGGCTGGGTGAGGGGCACAAGTGGGGGTGAGAGCAGCCCCCCAGCTCCTCCTGCTGCAGGGAGCCAGGATGGCTGGGAGCGGATGCTCACACCCCACGGGGTCCATCTAAACAGACGCTGAGCTCACCCTGCAAAGGTGCTGAGCCCCACGCCACGGCCCTGGGGCTGCAGCTGCTAGGATCTGTGGGAGCAGCACCACCGGAGCGAGATTTTTTGGGGGGAAGCCTCTGCCAAGGAGTCCCCAGCTCCTGCCAAACCCCCCTCAGCAGCCGGGCAGCCCCCCAGGACTCTGCTTCCCAGCTGCTCCCGGCCCCGAGGCGTCAGGGTTCAGCTTGGCTTAACGGCACCGATGGCTCAGCTTGGTGAGGCCGGAGCGATGCCCGCTCAGCATCCCCGGGAAGAGGGAGGCCC